GTCAAAAAAAAAATATATGCTCTCTCTCTCTCTCTCTCTCTCTCTCTCTCTCTCTCTCTCCCCTCATCAATTGATCAATAAATAAATTAATTAAAAACAAACACCCCCAGCTAAACCATTGAAAGGCTTGCAGTGACCAAAGGCTCAGGTGGGAGAGTAAAAAGAAAGTCAGCAACGTGAAATGGCAGAAAAAAACATCAAAAAAAGAGCCCTGGCCACCAAATATGTAAAAACAGGTGTGTGTGTGCGCGTGTGTGCGTGTGTGTGTGTGTGTGTGTGTGTGTGTGTGTGTGTGTTTGCTATAGATGGGCCAGATTTGTCCTCCAAGAAACTCAGTGTCTGGAAAACATTTATAGGTACTTAATGATCAGAAAGTACACACATCTCCTAACATCTTGCTTATGAAAACCCTGATTATTTCTAACTTATTTGTAGCGTAGCTGGGATCTAAAAAGAGTGATTAACTAACTTATTTTGACATTTCCCTAAAATATTCTATTGGAAATATTTAGGCCAGCACCATAGAAGGTGCCACTTTTTTTTGTTTGCTTTTTAATAAGACTTTATGTGAGTCAAACTGACAAGCTATGCCAGGGAACAAGATATTGAATGCTCCAGAATGTGCTGCTTATATTAAAATAATAAAATAACACAAATAAAGTAACAATAATATAGCATAAAAATAAACTACATGAACCCTCATACACTGCTGGTGGGAATGCAGACTGGTGCAGCCATTGTGGAGAACAGTATGGCATTTCCTCAAAAATCTAAACATGGAATTTACATTTGACCCAGTAATCCCACTTCTGGGACTATATCCCAAGAAAACAGAAACACCAATCAGAAAGAATATATGCACCCCTAAGTTCATAGAAGCACAATTTACAATAGCTAAGGTTTGGAAACCGCATAAGTGCCCATCAGCAGATGAGTGGATCAGAAAACTGTGGTACATCTACAAATGGAATACTACGCTGCTGTAACAAAGAAGGAACTCCTACCATTTGCAACAGCATGGATGGAACTGGAGAGCATTATGCTAAGTGAAATAAGTCAGTTGGAGAAAGAGAAATATCACAAGATCTCACTCATTTGTGGAATATAATGAACAACATAAACTGATTAACTAAAATAAATCCAGAGACATAGAAGCATTGAACAAACTGTCGAACCTCGGAGGGAAGGCAGGAGAGGGTGGGAAGTGGGGGGAAAGAGATCAACCAAAGGACTTGTATGCATGCATATAAGCCTAACCAAAGGACACAGACAATAGGGGGATGGGGACATGTGCTGGGGGCGGGGGGAGGAAGGGGAAGCCACAGGGGAGAGATCAATGGGGGGAAAAGGAGACACATGTAATACTTTCAACAATAAAGAATTTAAATTTTAAAAATTAAATTAACTACTTTTATTCAAACCTGTGCACCCCTTTAGCAAGAGTTCTTCATGCATTAAATGATGGAGGAGGCAGAGATAAGGGAATATGCACATTTTCTATGCTCAGTAGAGCCAAAGAATAAAAAGAGATTAGACATTTCTTTTCAAATTCCTTGACTCCTTTTTATGGTTAATATAAAGTTCACACAAATATAGATAATGTAATATAATATGTAATAATGTTCCTATATAAGTAAAAGTCTAATATGCAAATCGACCAAATGGCAGAAGAACCAGTTGCTATGATGCACACTGACCACCAGGGGGCAGATGCTCAACTCAGGAGCTGCCCCCTGGTGGTCAGTGTGCTCCCACAGGAGGAGCCCTGCTCAGCCAGAAGCTAGGCTCATGGCTGGCGGGCGCAGAGGCAGTGGTGGGAGCCTCTCCTGCTTCTGTGGCAGCAGTAAGGATGTCAGTCTGACATCCCCCAAGGGCTCCCAGACTGTGAAGACTGTAAGAGGGCGCAAGTGGAGCTGAGGGACACCCCTCCCCATGTGCACGAATTTCATGCGCTGGGCCTCTGATAATATAATAATTTCCAAATATCCACCATATTTTGACAGCAGTGTCCCTTATCTCACAAAGATCATTTACAAGAGCATTCCTTTAACTTTTAGAATCTATCAAAATAAAAGTAAATTAGCCCTAGCCAGTCTGGCTCAATGGATAGAGCGCCAGCCTGCATACCAAAAGGTCCTGGGTACAGTTCCTTGGTTCCCGTCAAGGGCACATACCTTGGTGGCAGGCTCCTCCCCCGTCAGGACTCTACTCTGGGCTCACACAGAAGACAAGCAATCTTTCTCTCTTCCACTCTCCCTAAAAATCAATGGAAACATATCCATGGGTGAGGATTAACCAAAACAATTTTAAATTAATTGCTGTGACTGAAAAGCAGTTAAAAATCCATTCAGACTCTAGTTAAATCCCTTCATTGCTCTTGCCTAACTGCAACTGAATAACCCATTCTCCAATTTTTAAATGCAATTTTATGACATTGTATTGTTTCTATTATATTATAATTATTATACATTACATTATCTAAATTTTATATTAAACATAAAAAGAAGTTACAAATTTTTAAAAAAATCTCTAATCCCTTTTTATTATTTGGTTCTGAGCACAGACAATGTACATATTCCCTTATCGCTGCCTCCCCTACCCCTTAATGCACCAAGGACTCTTGCTAAGGGGTGGACGGATTTGAATAAATGCATTTAATTTAGTATTATTTCATGTATTACATTTTATATTATTTTATATTTTATTTGATTGTGTAATTTTATTCTTTTAATAAAAGCAGCACCTTCTATGGTGCTGGCCTAAATATTTCCAATAGAATACTTCCTAAGAAGAAAACCCCATCAAACAGTGGGCTGATAACCTCTCTAAGGACTCAAATCAGATAGGGCTGGGGGGGCGAGGGGGGAGATGGGCAAGAAAAAACAAATCTAAGAGGCACAGCCTTTACATATTTAGGATTTTAAAGATATGAATACAGAATATCTCTATTAACCAAGAGGATGCCTCCTGGAGACATTGTTCTTCCTCAGAAACATTGTCACCAGGAGCCTCCCCAAGAGCCTGCAGCCGGCCCCCGTCTCGTGCCACCACCTCTCAGTTCCCTCAGCAGGCCCGGGCTTCTCCCCACTCCTCCCGGCTCTCCTAATCTTGCTGAGAAGAGCTTTTTACCTCAGGGCATGTTTGCATCTCCAACTAGGCTAAATGATACCCATTAGAACCAATAATAATAATAAGTGTTGGCTCTGGAGCAAAGCGAATCTCTGCCTACTCAAGGGCATGAAATTGTGTGCGTAAAGATGGTTGGGCGCTATTAAAGAGGGGATGATTTTGCTATTCACATTCTTGGCACACTTATTTCCTCCGTAATGTAACCACAAACCTGACTAACCCAACTCAAATGATCATAAATTACAAATTATGAAAATGAATTGAAAGTTTACTGTAAATGAAAACAAATTTGAGTATCCATCTGACGACATTTTCAGACCAGTTTCTTACTTGTCAGCATTAATACACTATAATATTTTCAAAAAGAAAAACTTTTCAAAAGCAGAAGTATTTTAATTAATATATACACATCCACAGGGATGAATTCACCTTTCATCTCTTTTCTCCAGTGGTAAAGTTTTCGGGATGAAAACCTGATCATTTTAACAGTTATAAAGATGATCATAGTACTTATAAAGATGTTATAACTGTGCTAATATATTAAGATTGTGAGTTAATCCATGGACATTGAATGAGTCATTTGGCAAATGTCTGCTCAATCTATAATGTTCTGGACAATGCACCAGATACAGGGGACACAAGGGTAATAAGACGAGACAGAATCACTGCCCTTTCAAATAGAAATGTGTTCCAGAGTTTATGCCACTACATCAATCGGTAGGAAACAGACACAAAAGCTGAAGGTGTGTTGTTGTTATATACAGGGTGGGGCAAAATAGGTTGGCAGTTGTGAGTACCTGAAGTATAGAGCTTACGCTTGTATTATTATTAAGTATTGCATTATTTTCCAAATGAACAACTGTAAACCTACTTTTGCCCCACCCAGTATAGTAGTGATGATAAGTATGTAATCAAGGAACAGAGCATCTGGCTAAAGAATCTCAAAAACAATTTTATCTCTAAAGAGTGTATCAAGGTTCCCAGAGATTAATATACTAGTGATGATGAACTATTCTGGAATCAAAGGATAACTGATAAAATACTGGGGTAATCTCTTCATTTCTGATAAACCAGCACTATTAGGATTTATTGACATGGACATAAACTTTCATGGTTTAAGAGCTACTGTATGACTGCCAAGATCCTCTACAAAGACCAATGGAAATGAAATTCCACAGGCCTAGCACGTTCCCATGTGAAATATTATGAGTCCTGCCATGGCCACTGAAACTGTACTCTAAAAAGGCCATGGACCTCCCATAACCCACTGCACAGAGGGCAGCCTGGGAGAGGGAGTGGGAGTTCAGGAAAAGGCAAGACTTTTGGATTATTTAGAGTATCGCTTCTTGCAACAATCATTGTCTTGCAAAATATATCAACTGTGATAGAGGGTTTTACGTATGAAGATGACACTGAATATATGGATTTGTTTCAGAGGACAAGAGGAACACTGTGGAGGGTCCCCTGAGACCTGCCTGCTTCTCTCTGTGGCTATGCCAGTGCCCTAGGAGGGAAGGAAAGAGAAAGAGAAACAGGAAAGCACACTGCCCACTAGGTAAAGACTGAGTTAGTCTCTAATTAAAAATGCCCAGCGTCATCCCATTCTAATTAAAACACAATTCAAACTCCTTTCTAAGACTTGAAGGCTTCACATAAGCTGTCTCCTACCTACCTCACGGACTGCATCTCCGCCTCCCTCCCACTTTTTCACTCTTCTTCATCTAGTTCTTCAAACACTCCGAATTCATTCATGCCTCTGGCACTTTGCAGTTGCTGTTCCCTCTGCTAGAATGCTCTTCCTTCTGCTCTTTACTGGACTGGTTCCTTCTCACCATTCACATCTCAGCAAATATCACCTCCTCAGAGAAGCTTTCTGATTGCCCTAAAGTAGCTGCCCCAACCCCTTTCTAGTACGCCCTGTGCTGTATGGTCTTCATAACACTCATTCTCTCAGAAAGGTGCTTTTTCACTTATTTGCATCTTGTTTAATGGCTCCGTTAAACAAGTCTATAAGAGCAGAGGCTTTGTTTTGTTCAACAATGCACAGCCTAACCCCACCACCAGCACCTAGAACATCTGTGACATGGTGGATACTCAGTAAACTGTTTGAATCTCAAGTGCCACCTTATGGATGATCATACAGAAAGTCACCCAGGATCCACTGGAAAACCACTTTCTGCCCCCTTGGCAGGCCCACCTCCCAGCACAGTGACTGTGACCCCCAGCCATACCGACTCCACACCTGCTTCTGCAACCCAGGGAAGGCGAGAGCCACCCTGCTTCCCTCCGGAGACTCCCCAGCTTGCTTGCCATCTCCTTATCTGGAGGCCTTATTCTCCTCATCTCTTGCAGATCTTCCCACCGTGGGAAAGCATTGTTTAAAGAACCCTTCAAAGACCACCATTACATGCTACTGAATAAAATGATGCCATCTGCACACTGAATCTGAGGTATAAGGGGGAAAAGAGAGAACAGGTAAGAAGAGAACCTTTTCACTCAGTTTTCCAGTGTTTAGGACAAGGTTGGCTGCTCTCCTTCCCTTTGTTCTCAGTGGTCCAGGAGGAGGAACGTGCCTGGCTAGGTTCAGAAGGCTGTGGCAGTAAACAGTAGGCTGGTGATCCCCCCTGGATACGCTCTCCAAAAAAAAAGATATATGAACAAGGGAAAGCGACTCAGATCCTACTGCTCCTTACTCCTTTTAGACTCATAACCTCACTCCAGAATCTCATCCCTTCCTATCCCAGTAGCACGGCAGCCAAGATCCTGACCAAGCCAAGACACTACTGATTCCCATGATGAGGAACTGTGCTTCTGACACCCTGATATGAAACCAAAAAGGCAGTTCCTACCGAAACCCTGTGAGGTCTAATGCACACATTCTATTCCACACATCAAGCTTGCTCCAAATCGAATACATTCTTATGTTTAATCCATAAGGATTTACTTGGAAATTGTGCTGTTATCCACTGTAGTTGGGGTTCACAACTACAGGAGAGGTTCCTGTTATCTGTGAGGGTGAGGATGTAGCCCTGGGGAGAATTCTTCCAAACAAGAAGAATAAATAGGCACCTCAGTGAAACTGTATCCAGAATGAAAAGATCTTTTGGAACACACCCCATTGGAGATGACATATACTCCTGAATTTGTCCTGACAGAGCACACCTAAGTGGCATGTCAAAAAGGCAGGGAAGACAGAAGACACCTAATTGATGAAAGTCCGAAGCTGTCGGAGGAAAGGCGAAGTATGCAGACCACCAATGGAAGAAGCCCTGCCTAAGATGTAATGAAGAAGTACGTGTTGATCAAGGGGTAGAGAAGTTGAATGTGTAAGGCAAAGGAGAAAGATATGCACACAGAATGAAAGAATTTGTGAGCAATGAAGCCCATGGAGGCTTCTGGACTGGTACAGGGCACAGGTGAAGCAAACCTTCATGGGATCTATTCTAAGTCACTTAACCTCGGGCAGTCTCGGGTTTTTAACTATAAAATGGGACTAAGCATTCCTGTCTTATAGTGTTGTTGGGAAGATTTGATAAAATAGCTTATGTGAACACACTGGGGATCACAGTGGGTGCCACGGGAGTTTCGTGCTTTCTTCGCCTCCTTGATAAGTACAGCCTGGAATGCGTGTTAAACAGATCTCTGGTCCCAGCCTTGGGTGGAATTGATTTCCGTGGAAGTCAAATGGTAATCTGTATGGTTAGCAAATGAAGCTTATCAGAGAAATTTGGGAAACAGCATATGTCAATTCTCCCCCACAATGTTCCACATGCCGTGGAATACAGATCTCCAACAGAAGAAAACGGCTGCCACTAAGAATTCAGTGGTTCTCAACCTTCTGGTCCTTTAAATACAGTTCCTCGTGTTGTGACCCAACCATAAAATTATTTTCGTTGCTACTTCATAACTGTAATGTTGCTACTGTTATGAATCGTAATGTAAAAAAAAGTTTTTTTATTTTGGTTCTATATAGTATTTTTGATGCTGGTTATGAAAATAGTTTGTAATTATTTTTTCTTCCCATTTTTGTGGTTAAGAATAGTATTTCCTCAGAAAGTTTCTAGATGAAATTATTTAGAATGGTATGTATGTAGCTGGGTTTTGAAGGTAAAGTTTTTAGACGAGTATACTCGTCGACGACTGAAAAAAGAACATTTTGTGAAAACGTGTATACACGTTTCTGCCGGGGAAGGGGTTAATGATATGTCTCATAATGGCATTATTCTGCTAATACCGTCCCTTTCTGAGCCTCAAAGGTTGTTTCTTGTTTGTTTGTTTTTATTGATTTGGGGTATAAGAACCAATTGAATATTTCTCCAAAATCTGAAACACAGTCCAGAGAGCAGTTTCACTTTATTGAGCCATTATAAGGCAGCGGTGCAATCTGGGACTGTGACCAGAAGGTCACATATCCAGGCCTGCGTCCACCGGAGACCTGGAGGTCAGTGTGGACATGAGGCCTTGGGGCGCCACAGCTCCCCACCTGGCTGCCTCCTCACAGCGCAGGGACCTTCCTCTCAGCACCGGCGACTTCCTTAGGAGCCGCGGCGCGCGTGGCTGCTGACACCCGGGCATTCACGTTACTGTTCTCATGCCCACTCCCACCCAGTTTGTAAATACTGCCTTTGAACAGCAAACACCAGACCTCCCGCTCCCAGCCACTCTCTCTGCCCTTTCTACTGAAGACCATAAAGGAAGGAACACTGGGTGGGTTTGTTTTTAGTTTCTGGAAATCAGCTGATAGAATTTATCGTTAAAGGCAAAATAACAGCACACAAGGACCGGGGCTGAGATCTCGGCCTCCAAGTGGCAAGTTATTGCTCCCTTATCTTGAGAACTAAGGGCTGCCTGCGGGAACCCTGCAGTTGTCCTACCGCCACCCGCTCCCCGAAACTGCCTCGGAGCTCGCTTTGTTAGGTCTAGTTCTGTTGTGGCGGGAAGAAGGGTGTCTCGGAATGTTTTTTTAAGGTTAAAGACCAGAACCTTGCACTCGCTCCTGCTCCTATACAGACAGACCTTCTACAAAAGAACAACAGTGAGCGAGGGACCCATCACCCCTCGAGTGCCCCAGCTCCCCTGAAATTAGAAATAGGGCC